AGGTTTTAATTCTCCTTCTGACAGGCATCACTCAGGGGCTCTGTAGAGCAGTAAACCTCTACAGATAAAGTCTGATTTATCCCAGTTTGCCAGTCTTTCAGTTTTGGTCAGAGTGTATCATTAGCTCTTAGGAGAGTCTTAATCATGCCTCGCCTCTCCAGATCAGCAGCTGTGGTGTGTTGTGGGACATCTCCTCCTCCCAGAACTTGTAGTTCTACTCCTTCTTGGGCAGCTTTACCTGCACCACCTTAGAGTTGGGAAAGGGGGCAGGTCTGTGGGAGAGCAATGCTGCAACTGGTGCTGTCTTTCAGATCAAAGGGATTACATCTGCGAGTACTGCGCCCGGGCCTTCAAGAGCTCCCACAACTTGGCAGTGCACCGGATGATCCACACGGGCGAGAAGCCCTTGCAGTGAGTACCTCTGCCTGTGCCTCACCCTCCTGCCCTGAGGGACCCCCAAAACACCCGTTTCAGAGCAGCTCTGAAGTCGGGGTGTCCCAGCTCTTCGTGGTGTCCCAGCTCTCTTTGAACACACACTTGTGTCACCTGCTCCTCGGAGCAGTGTCTTGGATCTGGGGAACGTAAGCCCTCAGGTAAACAAAACGAAAGCTGGAGCTGCAGTGACATTAGCGAGCCCCTGCTGCTTTCCTGAGCTGCCACCTCACTACTACTGTCCTTATGAGTGTGTGTGGATGTCCCTTTGTTGTGACCTCCTCATTGTCCCCTCCCAGGTGTGAGATCTGCGGATTCACCTGCCGGCAGAAGGCTTCCCTCAACTGGCACATGAAGAAGCATGATGCAGACTCCTTCTACCAGTTCTCCTGCAATATTTGTGGCAAGAAATTCGAGAAGAAGGACAGCGTCGTGGCCCACAAAGCCAAGAGTCACCCTGAAGTGCTCATTGCTGAAGCACTGGCTGCCAACGCAGGTGCCCTGATCACCAGCACCGATATCCTGGGCACTAATCCTGAGGCCATTGTGCCACCCACAGATGGCCAGGGCCTCCCATTGCTCCCTGACCCTCTGGGCAGTGCTCCCCCAGCAGATTGTCTGCTGCTGAGCCCAGAGGGGATGCCAAAGCCCTACTGTGGCGGGGCAGAGCGCGTGAGCCTGGTGGCTGACGGCAAGCTCTTTGTGGGCAGCGGCAGCAGCGCGAACCCAGAGGGGCTGGTCATGAACACAGAGATGCTGGGAGCCAGCACGGAGGTGCTCATTGAAGATACAGACTCCACTGGACCCTAGTGGCGGGGGAGCACCTGGGTGCTGAGACAGCTGGGACTCTGTATTGAAAAGGAAATAAAAAAAAGGAGGAGGCACTTACTGAAAGAGAGGAAAGTTAAACAAAACTTACAATACTAGTAAATAACTGAAGGGTCTGCTCCCCTCCAGCGCGGATCACAGCACATCCTCTTTCTCCCAACCACTTCTCTCTCTCCCACGGCCCCTTTGTGGAAAGGGGCACGTGCTGCCATTGCCAGAGCAAGTTGGATTGAGCGGCGGATTTCTCCAAGGGAGGGGGCACTGCCAAAACCCTTTGCTCTACCCCAAAGCAGTTGCCTTTCTGGCTCCTTGGCATGGCCCCACTGGCAAACTAAAAAGCATTGGACGTGCTCTGGAGAAGTTCCTTAGGACTCCCTCTTCCCCTGGTCCCGACTTCTATGCACCACTGCACTCTGGTCCTTGCAGCCTCCTCCTTCCCTGCCGGGGCTGGGAGTTCGGCGCTTCAGCCCCTCGGCAGGGTGAGCTGTGAAGCAGCAGTGCACATCCCGCTCCCACCGCGCTCCCCTGCTCCAGCCCTGGCAGGAAGTGGAGGGAGGGAACGCCCTGGCTCATAGATCATGTTTGCTTGGAGAGGCCCGGGGGCTACAGGAGCCCTGCGTGGGAGAGGCAAGGAGGAGCATCCCAGTTTGACGACAGTAATTTGCACTTTGAACATGCTTCGTTTTTGTGTTGTGGTAACAAGATTCCTTATTTATTGTTTAAAAAAGGGTCGGTATTTTTTAGTTCTGTTCTTAGGGGGCGGGGGTGGAAGGGGTTCAGGCTGTTTCCCAGTAGGCTCCAGTGCAGGGAGCTCCAGTGCCATTGTGCCAGCAGCTGGGAGAGCTGAGGTGAAGGCAGCGCTCTGGAGTCAGATGTGTCTTGCAGCTTTTGCAGAGTAGAGGGAGAGCCCCTGGAGAAGAGCCTGTGTGCAGTGGGAGTCTCTGCAGCAGCGTGTTAGCAGGAGGATGAGGTGAGTGATGGGCTGTCTCCCTCCCTCCCAGATCCGGGTGAGCTCCTTGCATTAAATGCCTGTTTTGCCTCCAGCCTTTTGGGGAAGGACATTGTTAGCCAGGAACTTGTTCTTGTGACTTGTGACTCTTGGGACAGCTGTGAGCTACTTGCTGCTGGGGGATGTGGTGCTCCTCATCCAACTTTGCCTCTCCTTTCCAGGTCTAGACAAAGACACAGCAGGGACTGGATATGATTTTCTCAGGCTTGTTTATCCAAGGCAATAGATTGATGTGGGACTATGGGGCTGTCAGCTTTTCTCCCTGCCCTCATTTTGAGGGGGGATTGTGTAGCCGTGTTCTGAAAGCTTCTCTTTTCTGCACAGACACCCCAGCTTTCCCCGAAACGTGGCAGGTCAGGTGTTGCCTGCTGGTGTAGTTAGGGCAGCTTTGAACCCTTGGAAAAGTTTACATAGGATAAGATGTGTCTGCTATGGAGACTTGGGTTTTTTTGCTCTTCTCTGAAACTTTGTGTGGAGATTCAGTGGCCTTGAATTCGTAGCGGTTTTGGAAGAGGTATTTTTTGTTTGCTTGTTTTTTGGTTGGGTTTCTGGGGTTGGGAGCAGAGCTGAAGTAGCTTGTCTGAGCACAAGATCAGCTGAGTTGGTCTGTAGCACACAGCAGCTTGTTGAAATCGGGTACCTGGGGTCTGGAAAACCGCAATAAAATGTGGAATTTAAATGGATTAACAGGAAACTGACTCTGAACACCCACTCTGTCCCCTGTGATGCCTGGAAATCCAGCTGTGGCCCAAACACGCTAGCTTTTCTCAGGCTGTTTGTCCTGGTTTGCCCCCTCCCTCCCTCCTCCTTACACTGATACCTTTGTCAGAGCAAGTCGAAGCACTTCCTGGTGTTGGGGCGGATCGAGGCTGAGCAGTTGGGTGTCCCGTGCCCTGGGTGTGGGCATCCCATGGGCACGCTGTGGCAGCAGCCTGGCTCATGTCAGGGCCCGGCACACCTGGTGGCAGGTCCATGGTGGAATGGTGTTAAACTAAACCAATTCTGTCAGTTGAGATGATCCAATGTCTTGCTTGAATTGCTTTACCATGGTTTCCAGCAGGAAACTTTCTGGGTGGCAGCTGGTCCCCTCCCCTTGCAGGCTAGAGAAGGGCAGCACTCTGGGGACACTTGGTGGCCCTCAGGGCAGGTTGGCTTTGTCCTTTGCGGTGCTGCTGGAGCTGTGTCTGCTGGCCCCTGTGCCTGTGGGAGGTGCAGGGCGGGCAGAGCCTTGCACAGAACACTAAAGGAGAGCTCGGGGATTTGTTGGTCGAGGGATGGCACTAAAACGCCTTTGGGCCAAGGGCTTGCTCACCTCTGGTGACCCAGCACTTGGCACCAGGCTGGGAGAGGCTGCCTTGTCCCACATCCACCTAAGTGGAGCAGAGTTTGCCCCTGGCTGCACTCTGGGATGCAAAATGAAACATTTCCTTTGCTTCCCGGCCTGGACACCTCTGATCCCTGCCGCTCCCTGCCTTGTCTTTCCATGACACCTCTTGTAGCTCTCCCTTTTCTTTTTCTGGCCATTGCCAGGTGCCTGTCTGTCCTCTAACCACAGCCTGCTCGCCCCTGATGCAGGAAAGATGTGTAGCTCCCTTCCCATGCCCCTCTGAAGCCCTAAAACTGACACAGCCCTCCTGCAGCTCCTCCTCCCCTCGATGTCTCTCCTTCACTCGCATGCAGTTTGCTTCAATAAATTATTGTAGTAGTTTGCAATAAACTTTTTTGTATTTTTTTCCCCTGTATTTATTTTTTTTTCTCCTCCTGGGGAGGGATTGGAGGGGGCATGAGGCCCTTTGGCAAGGGCAGCATCTGGGGGGCCCTGGGCCACCGGGCTGGGGGCTGCTGTGGCCAGGGGCTCCCCAAGCTCAGCAGCTTCTGTAGGAGCCATGGACTGGCAAGGAGGCTGCTGGGCATATGGGGACCCCCCCACCCCCGGCCCTGGGATCCCCAGCAAGGCACACTGTGGTATTCATGAGAAGCTGCTTTTCAACTCCTGGGGTTTTTCTCACTCTTGATCTGGGTAATGCATAACCAAAATAAACATACTGAGGAAAAACCAACCCAACCCGAAGGGCTGTTTTTGTCTTGGTGTGTGCAGCTCACCTATGGGGTGGCCGGTGTTGTCCTGGGGTGGTTGGGATATCGTTCTTTATCTGCAGTCCCTCTTTAAGACAGGACCTCTCTGCGGAAGGGGGGTTAGAACGTCTGGCACGGATCCTTCTGCCAGGTTTGGATTGCAGTTTGGCTTGGGGCTGCTGCGGGATCTCCGGCCTGGGGGCTGCCCTCAAGCATTGCTCGCTCCAGCCGGCTGCCCAGGCTGAGGTGTTGAGCAATGTCCGGGCTTTGCTCACCTCTTCCCGGCAGTGGTTTCCCGCGTTCTGGAATGAGCCGAGGGCTTAGCGTGCTGCTGATCTCGCTGTGTGGCTTGGGAGGGAGGAGTGGGTCAGCTGGAGTTGGGAGCCTGTTGCTGCTGCGCCAGACAGTTCTGGGCAAGGCACTTGGAGTAGCGATGCGTGGGGGAATTAGGGAAATAATCTGTCGCTGTTGATCCCAGAGGCGGGAATTTGCAGCGTGGTGCCAGGCCCCAGGCACGGAAGAGGGGGAGAACCAGGCCAGCGGACGTGTGAGCGGAGCTCCCGGCTGGAATGCACCAGCTCAGCAAGGGATTGTCCTCGCCAGGCCGGGCGGGTGCTGCGCCCGGAGCCTGGTGGCCGTGACAGCTGCCCGGACCATGGCGGCCGCAGAGAGCCCCTCCGCTGCCCTCCGGCGCCGCGACCTCTGCAGCCGCGGCATCCGCCTGGCCGGCAAGATGCGCGCGGATGTCGTTGACCTCCTGGACGCCTACGTGAGTTTGCCCTGCTCCTTCTGGCTGCTGCGCTGCTGGGAGCACTGCTGGGATCTGGGCGGCTGTGCTGGGGTGTGAGGAATCTGACCCGTGGCAGGGATGGGGCACGGAGTCCTGCTGGATCCGGGCCTGCTCACACCTGGGCAAGACTCCTGTACTGCCCCGACACCTGCAGGGCTCAGGGCTGGGGATGCCCCCAGGTTTGTCCTGCCTCCGCTGATCCCCGGCGGGTCTCACCCTGCAGGTGGAGCAGCAGGGCTTGGACGCCTCGGCCAGCGTGGCGGCGATGGAGGGGGTGCCGCTGGCGGCGGTGGAGCGCTGGGACGAGCAGACGGGCACCCAGCGGCTGCTGGAGAACCTGGCGGCCTACCGGGCCTTCCGCGCCCTGCTGGCCCAGATGCTGGAGGAGCAGCGGGAGCAGCTGGGCGAGGCCGACGCGGGCCTGGGCCGGGCACTGGCGGCCGTCCTGCTCCAGGTGTCGGCCTTCGCCTACCACCTCGAGGAGCTGCTGCGGCTGGAGAGCCGCGGGATCCCCGGCGAGGAGGGGGACGGGCCGCCGCCCCCGCCGCGCCTCAGCCTCTTCGAGCAGAAGCTGCGGGGCCTGGGCGTGCTGCGGGAGCTCGCCCAGTGGGCCGTGAGGTCCGTGCGGGACCTGCGGCAGCTCGGCAAGCCCAGCTCAGCCGCCGGCACAGCCCCCGGCCTGGCCGAGAGCCCCTGAAGGCCAGCACAGGGTGGGGGGTCTTGGGTGCCCCAGAGGCTCCTTGCCCACCTTCTCAGAGGCAGCTGAGAACGAAGGAGGGGATGTGGAGGAGAGGGACCTTGCTTTTAATCACCATGCTTTTAATGCTGCTCTCCATGGGGAAACCGAGGCACAGGATGCAGTCTACCCTGGAGGCAGCAGGGATCCTCAGGGGCCCTTGAGCTCTTCCTGCTGGGTAGTTGAATTACCCTCAGGAAGCAGCTCTGCTGCTCGCCCCAGGGCCTAGAGGCTTGAGCAGCACCACTGCCCTTCTCTTTGGAATTTGGATGCTGCCTACGGTAGGCAGATGTTGCCTTGAGGCTCTTGTGGATGCAGGGCAGGAGCCAAGGGACAGAAAAGCATCGTCTGGTGAAAGGAGTCTTGGGACCTGCCCCGCAGCTGCAAGGCACAAGGTTTGGCCTCCTGCACGTGGACTCTCCTTCTGCCCAGCTTGGTTGGCTGCTCATTGAATTTCTGCTCTAACTGCTTGGGGCTTTTTGGGGAGGGCGGGAAGCAATCAGGAGGGGGAATTCTTAATTGCCTGGACATAATAATGGAGAGGCTCTTTTAACTGAAAGGAGATCTTTTAGCTGTGATTCAGAAGCCCCCCTGCAAGGAGGTTAGTTGCCTGTAGGGCTTATTTTAGGACTGCGAATGGCATGGGAGAATCTAACAGCCCCAACCACATCATTCATCCTGTGGAGAGCTGGGGCGTTTCACAGCTTCCTGGGCCATGGTTCTCCTGCCGACTGGATGTAATGGCTGCTGGCTGCCGTGTGAATAAAAGGGCTGGGAGATCTACCAGGGTGCTGTACTTCTTGGGGGTGCTGGGGCAGTCAACCTCATCAGAGAGGCTGAGCTGCCCAGTTCCCACTCCAGGGAAGGGTCGATTGCAGTGTGGTGAGAGGTTTGGGGGGATGTGACCCACTGGGAGGTTATGGGGAAGATGAAGAAGATGGTGGGAGGATGAACACGAGATGGTGGGTCACTGGGGTTGTGCCCTGTCCTGGTGTGGCCCTGCCTTCTTCCCTGGCCTGTAAGAGGACAGGCAGGACGGGGGGAGACCGGGGCCACAGAGCACGGAGGAGGCTGGGGACGTGCCCGGCCGGCTCTGCACAAAGCGGCTTTGTGGTGGCAAGTTGGCACAGCACCGGGCACAGCGCCTGCCCCAGCACCAGCAGCGTCTGCACAGGCACGGGGGCTCTGGGAGACAAAGAGCAGCCCGAGGCTGAGCCCCCAGTGCCATCCTGCCTACCCCACCGACCCCACAGGGCTGCAGGGTTGGGGCAAGGGTGGTTTGATGGGGTCTGGATTTTTATCGGTGATGCCTGAGAGGAAGAACCTGCACCTTCTTCATTGCCACTTACTGCCTGCTCTCAGCTTTGCAGCTCAGACTGGATTATTTCAATCTTTATGCTTCCCTGCACTGGGGAATAACAATTTATAGCCATTATTTTTTTCAGGATTAGTCAAAGCAAGTCCCTTTTCTGACAAGTGTTTTTCTTGCCTGCTGACATGTGCTTGAAGCCACCTTGCTCCTCTTCTCCCCCTGCACCCTCCTGCTCAGCAGTGGCCGGGTGCTTACATCTTCCTCACCTTCCCGGGGGTAGGCAGGGACATCTGCAATGTGTCCTTGAACCTCACCACCTGACCAGGTGGGAACAGACCTCTTTTCTCCGGCAGCACAGGCCGGGTATGAGATGACCTTGAGATCCTGGGGAGCTGGGCAAGGCTGCAACCCGATCCTCCCACATCAGCTGCTGGCAGAGAGCTGAGCTCGGTGCTCCGCTTGCACTCCAGGGTGAAAGCAGCAATGGAGACCAAAGGTGGACGATGGTGTTGCCCCAGGGATTTCCCTGGGCTTTTGCAACCTTCCTTATGCCTTCCCTGTTACCTTGCCAGCTGGGTGCACCTGCATTTGTAGAGCAGCCACCATGCTCAGGAATGGCCACCCTACCTAGAAACAATGGGGAAAAGCAATCCATTAATCCAAACTCCATGCTTTGGCTGAACGAGAGGCTCCAGCTCCCGGCCTTTCCCTGCCAGCCAGCCCCCACCATGCCGTGCAGAGGCGGTGACGTCGGAGCTGGCTGGGATTTAATGCTATTTTTCAGCTGCAGCCCTGAGGGAATCACCAAGTGAAGTGACTTGGCGAGGACAAGGGCGCCCGACAGCTGAGCTCCCGTGGTGCCAGGAGGCCCTTGGATTTGCTTTGCCACGGATTGAAGTTGATCCAGGTGGCTGAAGGCAAATGAAGCTTCTCATTTTGGAATCAGAAATTAGGAGTTTGAGGGGAGGACAGTTGTACCTGTGTGGCTAATGCTGCTGAGGACCCCTGCAATGGCCTCCTGCAAACTGAGAACCCACCAAAACCATCCAGCTTTGTGCTTTGGGAAGAGAGAAGGGATTTGTAGTGCTGGTGGGAACAGGGAACTGTAGTGGTGGGGGGAGGGAGGGCTGCACTCCCAAATTGCAGGAGGCATGGACCCACCAAGAGCAACCCATGGGCGTGTTCAATTTCAAAATAATAAATGTTTTTAGGGCTTAACATGTGGCTGGGCGTACTTTGTGGGGTCGAAAAGGTTTTGAGCTGGCTGAGGCTGCTCCCTGACCTCAGGCCTTGGTGCTGGGTGAGAATGGATTTGCTCCTTGCCCAGAGGCTGGTGGGATTCCACTGTGCTGGTCCCACTGCTTCACCCACGGTCCTACACCAGCGTTGCAGTGCTGGCTTCTGACTTCTTGATCCTGAGCTGGAGCTGGGGTGGGTGGATATTCACCAACACTTTCCTTTTTTAATAGCAGGAAAGCCTTTTCCTCTTGTCTGAGTCAGTGGAAAGGATTTCCCTGGGTTTCCCCGTCGTAGTCTTGGCTGCACTTATCTGCCTCAAAGGAACAGGTGGAAACACAGAGGAGTGGCTCTTTGTGGCTGTGCTGCTTTCCTGGGAAGGGCCAGGAGCCCCCCCCATTCTTGCAGGAAAACGTGCCTCAAGTGTAGCCCCGTGTGCATATCCACGTGTGAGCTGGAAAAAGGAGAACTTTTGTGGTTCACCTCATCCTCTCTCACCGCAGCTCCCACCAGCTGGCATCACCGCAGTTAGTCTCCACCTGTTCCCCCTTTTTCTTCCCTTTGTTTTTTCCTCTCTTTTGGATCTTGTCTAATGGTTTCTCACCACAAGCGCCACTGGCAGGCACTCAGCAGGATGGGAAGTGCCTGGGAAACAGGTTTGTCCGGAGAGGAGCTTCACCACCTTCCTGGGGATGAGTTGCCTCCGAGCTGAGGTGGACCATGCACTGGGGGATTTCCTGTGCTGCCAGACCTGGGACACAGGCAATTTATACATTTCTGCTGAATCAGGAATGTCCAGGTGTTTCATGTACAAGGAAATCAGTGTTAGGCGTGTCTGAGCACAGGAACACAAAAGGAGGTGAGACCAGTCTGTCACCGATATCCCGCCATTCAGGGCTGCCCTGGGAAGCTGCTTATGGGCTCTGTAGAACAAGAAGCTCAGGAATGTTTTTCTGTCCTGCAGGGAAGGGCTAGCACCGGCTGCTCCAGTCTGAGGGTTGCACAGGGCTGCGCACGTCACAGCTGGGGCAGGCAGGCAGCTGGGAGAGCTGGGGTGCAGGAGCCGGGGTTACAGCCCACGTGCCCCTCGGACATGAGGCAATTTTGGGCTTTGAAACGATTTTTGTGTGTCATAGGCCACAGGCAAGGGCAGCTCAGGGGGCTACTTCCTAAAGAAGCTCTTGGACCACATTTCTCTGTCACAGCACATGGAGCAGTTTCCCTGAGACTCACCAGCACCCTGAGTGTCATCGCTGGCAGGCAGGGACTGGGGGGTACCCACAAGGATGGGTGCACATCAGGGGCTCCCCGGGCTGCTCCCTGGGTTAGGGGAGGGTCTTCGGGCTGCAGGGCAGGGGTACAGGGACACTGGGAGGGGTCCCAGGGGAGCAGGGTGGGGTTTCAGGGACAGTGGGGACCCGGGATGCGGCACAGGGATACGGGGACAGCGGGAGGCGCCGGGTGCAGGATGGGGGTACGGAGAGAGGCGGGACGGGTCCCTCTCCCCCGCGGGTCGCTCGGTGCCGGCGGGGCGGGGCGGGGCGCGGTGACGTGCGCGGTGCCGCCCCCGGCCCGGGGCGCTCGGTGCGGGCGGGGCCGGGCGGAGCGGGCCGGGAGCGGCGCCGCGGGTGCGCGCAGGGCGAGGGGCGGCCCGGCCGTGCGCGGCTCCGGCCCCGGGCGGGGGCGGGCAGAGCCCTGCGCCGCGCCGAGCATGCGAGAGCCGCCGGGGCGGGCGGCAGCGGCGCAGCCAGCCGGGGCCGCGGCCGGGGCGGCGGAGCCATGCTGCTGGCCTCGGCCGTGGTGGTGTGGGAATGGCTGAACGAGCACGGGCGCTGGCGGCCCTACAGCCCGGCCGTCAGCCACCACATCGAGGCGGTGGCCCGCGCCGGGCCGCGGGCGGGCGGCAGCGTGGTGCTGGGCCAGGCCGACAGCCGCCTGGCGCCCTACATCATCGACCTGCAGTCCATGCACCAGTTCCGCCAGGACACCGGTGAGTCGGCCCCGCGGCCCGGCCGTGCTCGGCGCTCCCGCCCGCAGCGGCACCGCGGGAGGCGCGTCCCGGTGTCCCCGCGCCGGGGCCGCGCGGGGCTGCACCGAGCGGCGCTGCCGGGCCCCGCCGAGCCCGGCCCCGCACCGCCCTGAGCGATGCCAGCTCGCCCGTGTCCTCCCACCGGATCCCCAGGTCCTCGCCCTGCCCGGTCCTGCCCGCGCATCTCTGGTCCCCCCGGGGTCGTGCTGCCCGCCCCGGGCCCTGTTGCATCCACCCCATCCTCAGGAGAGCCCGTCTGCTGCACGCCCTGCCCGGGGCCGTGCCCGGCTCCCTCTGTGCTGGATCTGAGCCGCCATCGACCTAGAGCTGAATGGCACTTGGGTGACGGATCCTGCCCTGGGGGATGGCGGCCCCAGCGCAGGG